GACATGGTAGAGCCTGCCTTGGCTGCACAACAAAGAGAAATGGCATAAACCAGCTCACATGCAGTGGGGAAGCTAAGACAAAGACTGCCCAGTCATTTCAGTATTGGGGAGTTTCCAGCGTCTCAAAGATTGATGATCCCCCCCAGGGTGATTTGTTTTCTGTTTAATTTTTCATATTTTATTCCTGGTATTAACAAGTTAAGAAAGTAGAACTTTCCCAAGTGCTGACTTACACACAATGTTTATAGAGAATTAAGAGCAGGGGAGCCCCGCCCGGCGCACCGTCCCAGCGGGGGGCGCGCCCGTGCCGGCGCCCGGCCTGGGCCGCTGCGGGATGGCGCTGCTTCTGGCCGCGGCGCTGCTGACCGGCGTGTTCGCGCAGCTGCAGGGGCGCGGCCGCGACTTCGGCGACCTGCTCGTCTACTCGGGCTTCCTCAGCCTCTGGGCTGGGTCCTCTGGTACACCGGCAACATCGCGATCTCGCGCCGGGAGCTCGAGGGCGACTACGGCCTGCGGCCCTCGGCTCACGCCCGCCTCGCGGGAAAGCTCTCCCGCCGCTGGTCGGCGCCGGCTTCCTCCTCCGTCGGCCGGCGCGGCGCGCCTGGCTCCCGGGGATCGGGCCGAGCCGCCCTCCGCCGGCTCCCGCCGCGCGCGCCTGCACCCCGCCCCGGCCTGGGGCGGCGGGAGCACATGGCCCCACCTGTCAGGGCCCGACTGGCGGAGGTGTGCAGCTGTCCCCAGCTTCATCTGGCCGGATGCCTACCTGCCCTCCCTCTAGCCCCTGGATAAACAACTCAGCCTCACAGGGGAAAAAAAAAAAAGAAAGAAATTGCTATGAATAACGTAAATAAGCTACAGGGATACAATGTATCTAATCTGTTCCCTTTGCTTATCTATAAACTCCCACTCCAGCAGTGAAACACCTGGCTCCCTTTATTTGTCACCTATTTATAGACTTGTTCCACCCCATTGTACTTGCACAACAGTATCAGATTTTCACCCTACTTCCGTGGGAAACAACTTCATGATCTATGGAGCATACATATATGCAGTTTCTTTGCCTTTATTCTTACAGACTATACTTGTTTCCAAAGTTACATAGGTCAGCATTTTCCCCCACATTCATTTCAATGCAATAGTTTAATACATTTGTAACATAATTAGATTGTTTTGGCCGCAGTCTGCATTCTTTCCTGGGATCCCCTGACCTCGTTTTTTGATATATATATATATATATATATATATATATATATAATTTGCACATATCAAAGTTCACTCTGTTCTCTTAAGTTCTGTGGGTTTTGAGAAACACAAGTCCTGTTTCCAGTGCTGCAGTAACTATACAGAATGTTTTCACTACCTTAAAAGTCCTCTATGCATCACCAGTTCATCTCTCCTTCAAACCCCCAAACACCTGGAAACCCAAATCATTTCAGTGTCTTTAAAGCTTTGTCTTTTCCAGAATGTCAAATAATTGGAATTATAGAATTTGTACCCTTTTTCTACTGGCTTCTTTCACTTAGCAGTATACACTTATGTTTCCTTCATGTCTTTTCATGGCTTGGTAACTTACTGCTTTTTAATAACTAAATTACTTTAATTGCTAAATTGCATTACATGGATTTACAGTTTATCTATTCAGTTCTTGAACAGCATATGTTGGTAGCTTTAAGTTTTGGGTGATTATGAATAAAACTGCTATGAACGTTAGCATGCATGTTTTTGTGTGAGCATAATTTTTCAAAGCAATTGAGAAAATATCACACGATGCATTTTCTGGATTATATGGCAAGACTATGTTTAACTTTGTAAGAGACTGCCAACCTGTCTCTGTCTGCCAGTGTGGTTCTACCATTTTGTAATCCCACCAGCAATGAATAAGAGTTCTTATTCTACATCCTTGCCAGGATGTGGCATTGTTAGTTTTTGGAATTTAAATCTTTTAAATAGGTGTGTATTAGTATCTTGTACTTGTTTTAATTTGAAATTCCCTGAAAAGAAATGATGAAATGAATTTTATATGCTTATTTTCCGTCTACATATCTTTATTGGTGAAGGTGTCTGTCAAATAATTTGCCCATTTTTATTGGAGTTATTTGCTTTCTTACTGTTGTGTTTTTACTTATTTCTTGTATATTTTGGATGAAGATTCTTTTTCATATGTCTTTTGTGCATATATTTTCTCCCAATCCATTACTGTCAATTCGTTCTTTTAACAATGTCTTTCATGGAGGTTTTTAGTTTAATAAAGTCTGATTTATCAATCTACCAATTTACTTCCATGAATCATGATTTTGCTATTGTATTTAAAACCTTATTACCACACTCAAGATTACATTGATTTTTTTCCTTTTTTTCTTCTCTAAGTTTACATATTGTATTTTATACTTATGCCTCTGATCTTTATTGAGTTAATTATTGTGAAATGGGTAAGTTCTGTGTCTGTTTAACTTTTTTTGCATAGTGATGTTCAATTATTCCTGTGCCATTTGTTGAAAAGATTATCCTTCCTCCACTGATTTTTTTTTCCTCCATCAAGAACTAATGACTGTACTTGCAGTGTCCTATTTTGGGCTCTCTATTCGAGTCCACTGATCTATATGTCTATTCTTTTACCAGTCCCATGGTCTCTGGATTACTATAGCTTTTTATGTTTGTTTGTTTAAGTTTTTATTTATTAATTTTTCCAGGTGGGGGGCAGAAATTAGGTTTACTTATTTATTTATTTTAATGGAGGTACTGGGAATTGAACTCAGGACTTTTGCATGCTAGGCATGCACTTTACCACTGAGCTACATCCTCCCTCTGGATTGCTGTAGCTTTTATAGTAAGGATTCAAATCAGATCGTGCCAGTCCTCCAACTTTGTTCTTCTTTGGTGTCATATTGGATATTTCGGGTCTTTAGATTATACACATACATTTTAGAATATTTGTTGATATCTCCAACACAAATTACTGGGTTTGGGTTAGAATTGCCTTGAATGTATATGTAAAAATGGGGAGAATTTATGTCTTAACAATATTGAGTCTTTCAGTACACAAACATGAATTACCTCTCCATGTATTTAGACTGTTTTTGATTTCTTTCACCAGAGTTCTTAGCTTTCCATATCTAGATTCTGTACATATTTTGTTACTATTATACCAAAGTATTAAAAATTTTGGTACTGTTATAAATAATGATGTTTTGAATTTCAAATTAGAATTGTTCATTACTGGTACATATAGAAAAAATGGAATTTTGTATAATAACTTTGTATCAAGTGACCTTTCTATAATCATTTATGAGTTCCAGCACTAATTTTTGCGAATTTTGTAAGATTTTTTATGTAAACAATCATGTCTTTTCTGAACAAATAGAGTATTATTTCTTTCTTCCTAATTTGTATACTTTGTTTATTTCTTGTCTTGGATCATCCTTGCGTTATTCTTGATGTTAGGGGAAAATCATCTACTTTCTAACAATTAAGGATGATATTGGCTATAGGTCTTTTTTAAGATGTTCTTTACCAAATTGAGGAATCTTTCCTCTATTCTTAGTTTGCTGAGAGTTTTTTTAATCATAGACACTAACCTACTGAGGTTAATCAGATCATAACTGACTTGGAGGGAACAAAATATTCAGCTCCAGCCCTCTTTAGCCTTACACATGGGGGGAAGGGAAATACTCAATTTTAGTTCCCTCTAGTCATTTGGCCCCTTCCCTAAAGAGGGGAGGGGCTCTGAGATATGCTAATAAAGGTCACAGCCCAGGGGAACAGTCTCACAAAAGAATGAAACCTAATCATGGGACTATAAAACACTTTCCCTCCCAACACACCTTAGGAACACATCACTAAAACCCTAGGTACTAGAGTTCAACAAAATGATGTCTAGTTTTCAACAAAAAAATTATGAGGCACATTGAGAGGAAAACAGGAGAGTTTGAACAGACAAAGCAAGTGTCACAACCGGACCCATATAGCATTAAGATGTTGAAATTATCAGACCAGAAATTTTGAAAAATGTGATTAATATGTTAATAACTCTAATTTTAAAGTAGACAATATGCAAGAACAAATGAGTAATGTAAACAGAGAGATGAACATTCTAAGAATAAAAAAAGAAATAATAGAAATCAAAAACTCTATAGTAGTAATGAAGAATTCCTTCAACAAACTCATTAGTAGACTGGACACAGTACAGGACAAAATCAATGAACTTTATGAAAAACTTTTTAAAAAATATGGTTTCACAAAAAAATGATAATTCTGTAGTAACTGAACTTAAAAGAATGAAATAATGTGATCTAACTGATAAAACATTCAAACTAGATGTTTATGAGGAAATTCAACAAGCTACAAGAAAACTCAAAAAGACAATTAAGGAAACTCAGAATAAAGTTAATGAACATAAGCAGTTTTTTACCAAAAATATTGAAATTATAAAAAGAGTACCAAGGAAAAATTTTAGAGCAGAAGAATTCAGTTAATGAGATAAAGAATGTAATAGTATCAGAAGCAAAGCAGATCAGATCAAAAAAAGAGTAAGTGACTTGGAGGATAGAAATTAGAAATGCATCAGTTAGGAGAGAGAATTAAGATTCTTAAAATGTGAAGAAACCCTACAAGACCTATAGGAAACTATCAGAACAGCAAATATAAGAATAATTGTTGTCCCAAAAGGAGAAGAGACAGGAAGGGCGCAGAGAGATTATTTTTTAAAATAATAGCTGAGAATTTCCCAACCAGAGAGTGTACTGGACATACAAATCCAAGAAGTTAATCAAGGAGCCTATTATCTCAATGCAAATAGGCATTCTCCAAGACATATTATAATCAAATTGTCAAAAATTAATGATAAAGAAAGAATCTTAAAGGCTGCCAGGGGTAAAAAGGAACCTACAAAGGAACCCCCATTAAGCTATCAGTGAATTTTCCAGCAGAGACTTTATAGGCCAGGATAGAGTAGAAATGATATATTCAAAATATTGAAAGAAAAAAAATGGCAACAAAGAATACTTTATTTGGCAAAGTTATCCTTAAGATATGAAGGAAAAATAAAGGCTTTCCCAGAAATAAAAGGTAAGGGAGTTCACCACCACTAGATCTGCTTTGCAAAAAAATGATGAAAGGAGTTCTCCAGTCTAAAATAAAAAGATGCTCATCAGTAACATAAAAACTTACAAAAGTACACAACACTCTGGTAAATGTGAAAAATAAACAGTCAGCATCAGAAACCTGTGCAGTAGTCCCCCAGAACCTGTAGAGGATTGGTTCCAGACCACAGTTATCAAAATCCATGGATGCTCAAGTTTCATAGTCCACCCTTGGTACCCGTATTTCTGCATCATGGATTTAACCAACTATGAATCACATTTTACTGTGATATTTATCAAAAAAAATCTATAAGTGGACCCACAGAGTTCAAACCCATGTTGTTCAAGGATCAACTGTACTACATTAGAATAATGTGTTAACCACTTAATTACAGTATGAAGTTTAAAGGGAAAGACCATTAAAAATAATGATTGCTACTATATTATTTAATAAATTTATACCAAAAATAGGTAAATTGTGACATCAAAAATATAAAAGGGGATGAGTATAAGAGCAGAGACTTTTTAGGCAAATAAAGGTAAGTCGCTATCAGCATAAAATGAACTGCTATATCTATGAGCTGTTTTTATATAAGACCCACAGTAATCACAAAGCAAAAATCTAGAGTAGAGTTATGAAACATAAAAAGAGGTGAGACTGAGCATATCGACATGGGAAGCGACACATTATAAAAGTAGGCAGAAGCAGAGGTGAAAAGAAACAATGGAATTACAAAACAACCAGAAGGCA